CTAAGTGCTACACGGTGGAGCCATGGGAGTCACTAAGTGTTACACGATAGTCTGGTGTGATCTTGGTCCTGTGAATGGACTCAGCTTGATAGGGACGTCAAGCATTAAAGGTGGGGAGATTGTAACGCCCCCAATCCCACATCAAAAAGATGTGTGGATAAGGAATGATATATATGTAAAGATTTAATCCCAAACTTGTGAGGCACCTTTTGTAGGATAAAATCGTGAGACCTTCGAGTCAAAGTGGATAATACCTCACAGGTTGGGTGCGGGTCTCTACAGAATGATATTAAAAAAGATCAGTATAGGTTTACACTTATGAATTTTTCTCAATTAATTCACACTGGACAACAGTTCAACGAAAAACCTTATGTTTTTTCATCTCAAATCAAACAAGTTTTTTATTCTGAAAATACCAAAGAATTGGGTTGGTTAGATACCATAGATGATGCTAAACATGGAACTAAATGTTATCCTTTTGCTAAACAAAACTATGATGAAAATATCTCTAATACCTATGTTCAGTGGGTCTGCAAATATGTTAATGAAGACATTTATGAACCATGATGGATCATTTATATTTTGTAATTCGAGTATTTAAGACATAATGTAGTAAATGCTTATATGTAATTAATGTTACATTCGCTATTGTATATTTAGTGTATTCTAAATCATGCATTATCTTTTTGATTTAATTAAAGCGATATATTTTTTATATATCATAGATTATGATTTTAACTTCTCAATATCTTTATATATGTTCAAAACTAATATTTTTATATATTCACTTTTATGATACAGATAAGCTACAATATAGATGAATAGATTAAAAGAAATACATATAAAAAATATTAGTTCAGAACCGTCTGTAACACCTATTGATATTGGCTATGGACTGAATCCTTTAGAGGATAATAAATGTACTATCGGTTCTAACTCAATCACTTTTAACCCTTCAACTGCTATTGGATCTGACAATACAGGAGATCTAAGTTTAGATAGATCCCGTTAATTGATTATGCTTTAAATTTGAATGCAAGTATCATATACCCCATATTTAGAATTTGATTATAATAATTAAAGCATTGGCATTTTACTAATTGATTTTTTATTATTTGTAGTTGATAACAATAGTCAATGGAGGACCAAAGGCCAGATAACTTTGAAAAAATTATTTACACTACCTCTGAATGAACGTATTGTAGTCTTTGCAAACTTTGATAGGTAATCAATTGGTGAAAAAGCTCAACTATTGGCTGGATTTCTAGGCATGTTTGCCTATAATGGAATGAAATCGCCTATTCATTATGAAACATGGCATAAAGTTCCAGCAGAAGTTAATATCGATGCTTTAAACTTTATTGAGATATTAATATAATTAATTACATATAAAAATATAATTATTTTACTTTTTGTTTACTTATTCAAACTTTTCTTATTGTATTATTACAGTCAAGATTTGTACTTGAAATATCAAATTTATTTGTGCTTAAGTTATTGGGAATGAAATGGAAAGACTATAAGCATAATTTGAAGAATAAGTATTTCGATATAAATACTACTGTAAAGGCAACAATGAAAATCTACCTCGTAATGTGATTAGGTGGCAATATAAACAATTAGTTAGATTTTGATTTTCAAGAAAAAAAAGGTACAATTTATAACTTTGTATAGTAGAATGAAATTATGAAAGTGTTTTATGCTTTAAGCTGGTAATATTTGTATTTTTACTATACACGCAATTATTTTTTATGACAAAAAAAAAACAGATTGGATTGTAGCAAAAAGCAACAAAAATATAGTCACACAAATGGATAAAAAAGTTTTACAAGAAAGCAAAAAGAAATAGTAAGTTTATGATTTTAAACTTATTCCAATTAAAGAACTTTTTATGTCGTTAAAAGGTAAATATGCAAGTTAACATTTATTGTTCTATTTTAATAGTTTTGATAGTTTCAATACATGATATCATCACTTATCGAAAGTATTGAACTTAGTCGCCATGGTTGATATGTATGAAAAAGTTATTGTTTATGTCTATTTAGGTAAAAATACAAATTTGTTGATTCTATTTCAACAATTTAGATAGCTTCAATACTTGATATTAAACTTGTCTGATTGATTGAACTTGATTTCTACGATTGATATGTGTGAAAAAATTATCGTTTATGTCTATTTGGGACTATTTTTGCCTTTAAAAGGCAAAAATACATTATAAACTTTTGGATGGCTTTGAACAGTTTGTATGGCTTCAATTCATGATATTAAACTTGTCCAAATAATTGAATTTGATTTTCATGATCGATATGTGTGAAAGGCCAAAATGTTTTTATTGTTTGCATCTATTTAAGACTATTATGTTGTTATGGGGCCAAAATATAAACTTACGATTATATTTATATTTTAACAATTTAGATAGATTAAATATATTATATTAAAATTATTAAAAAATTTTAAACTTGATTGACAAGCTTGATATGCATAAATAAGTTGTGGTTGATATGTATTTAACAATAACATATATTTTTGTATAGGAGATTGAGATGAGTGGTAAAATGGATGTGTAAACTTTTTCACTTAACACATACAAAAAAAGATGGATCTTACATAAATGTGAAAAACACAAGAAATTATGGTAATTTGTAAATCTATTTTAATAGAAACTAAATATTTACTTTTTTTAACATATTATCTATTAATCATTAAATTTGATAGTTGTATATGACTAATTTAAGAAGAAAGCGAAAGAGAAAATGGATGTTGAGATTGAAGTAACATCTAATGGTTTTGTCAATATGCAAGAATTGAAAAATCAGATATTCATAAAAGTTGTTGAAAAAGAAAGACATAGACAGGTCTAAGGCCTTGGATTAGGTTCAACACCATCTACTTACTATAAATGTAGCTCTCAGCAATTTACATTATCAATAAGTCAGCCTTCGTGAGACATTTTGATATTGAGAGAAGAGTTGTAAACTATGCAACAACATTTCCAGCAAATGAAAGCTGAAAGAGAACAAGAGTGTACCAAAATTGAGGTAGAACATGTTAGAATGGAGCAAAAACATGTAAAATTTTAGCAGTTGCATGATTGATTCAATCATTTTTTTAATTTTGTGCAACAACAATTTTTAGGAACTGATCTTAGTGGTCTACAAACTCAAGTATTATATTTAGTAAATATTTATATTTTTTAATATAAAAAAGCTTACTATAAAGTGTTAAAAATCATATGATATTATTCAGTAGGTTTTTTAGCACGTTAGTGACCAAGGTGAAAAAATTTCTCCATCAATTGTCAGTTTTTCAAATCTATACAGTCATCACTTTCATACATTTTATTTTTTTTGTTAATGCATTAAAAAAATGAATGTTATTATACTAATTATTAAACTTTGTGTTAATTAGATGCATATTTGAATTTGAATTAAGTATTTATTAATTTTAGTTTTTGAATTTAAGTTCGTTTTTATTTCTTTTAACATTTCTTGTTAATGAAAATAATGAATATTAACAGAAATTTTTTATTAAAAAAATTAAATTTCTTAATTTCGTAGTATTCGCATTCAAGAATGTCACTAAATGAATAATTTAACGACATTTGTACTATAAAATACCACTAAAATTAATGGCATTTTTTTTATACAAATACCGCTAATTTAACGACGTCTTACCATATAAACACCACCATATTAGTGATGTTTTTCTGATAAAAATGATATTAAAATAGTGATTTTTCAAAGACACAAACGTCACTAAAATAGTAGCATTTTTCGAATACAAATATTGCTAATATAACGACTTTTTTCGATACAAACGTTGTTAATATAACGATATTTTCTATAAAACGTCGTTATTTTTCCTAACGCGTGTATAGCCGACACTCTGACTGACGTTTCTTGTAAACGCAGCAAATCTTTTAGTGGTGTTTATAAACGTCGCTAAATGTTAAAAAAAACACTACTAAAAACCTAAACCCCTATAATGCTCGAAATTTAAACAGACCTAAAAATTACGCCCAAGCTTGTTTAATGGATTTTAATTTCTTGTCCAAGCTTTCTTAAAACTTAGACAGGCTTTTGGGCTTGGACGAATAACCCGACTTTTGAACAAGATTAATCTAGTTTTATTCTTACTGCATTACTTACTCTTTTTTCCTATAAATTGATTACATTTTTTGTACCTAAATTTTGAAAATTATACAAATTGATGCCTAAATATATATATATATATATAATTTGGTCATTAACTTTCAAATAATGTATCATTTTAATGAATATTATGATACTGTTAACTTAATTAACTTGCTTATATAGTATTTAACCAACATAATTTTGTTATATGCACGTTATTTGTTAAATAAAAAATATTAAATATTTTATAAAAACCTTCATGCAAATGTCACATAACAAAAAAGATTGACAGGTCCTAAATATATTTTATAGTTCAAGGAAAAAAATATTTTTTAATCTATATTAAAAAAAAGAATGTTGATAATATTTGTGGTGAATACATAAACTAATAATAGTTATCAAACATTACATACATAAGCTAATATGATTAAGGTGATTAGAGTTTAGGTTAATATGATATATAATTTTAAAGTTCAAGGTGTAAATTATACATTTTGTTTTTTTAGGTATTAATTTGTACATTTTTTTAAAAATTTAGATACCAAATGTATCATTAACTCTTTTCTCAATTTTGCGATTAAATTATTTTTCTCAAAAATAAATTTATGCTGGATTTATGCTTGAATTGAATGATTAACATAAACAAAATCAACTTAACATTGACAACATTAATGATAAAACATTACAAATTAGGCTGAGGTAAATGAATTAACCCACATGCCTAGTTATTTAACTGGAACAAATGTCATACATTAATGCTAAAAATGTAATATTCCAACTTGAAAAAACACTAATAAAAGCAACACAACAAAGCACATTAATTATTAACTGGAGCAAACTTAGCCAAGAACTGATATCCTGCTTGATCTTCTCATTATTATTCACATTTGAAGCCTGGAGGAAGCTCCTTCTGACATGCACTGATGAGTAGACTAAGAGTAACAGGGATGTTGAGGTTGATTCCAAGTACATTGACTTTAATGGCAGTGCAGAGGCAAAGGGCAGCCTCCAAATCAGCCAAGCCTGAGAGCAAAGCGCAACATTTGCTTGAAGGAGCTGTTCCCTCTGTTATGTTGACAAGTCCGAGGAGGTCAGCACAGACACCTAGCTTCAATGTGTCCTTAGGGCAGTATGCAGCTGGAGGAGGAGGACTGGGTTTGGGCTTGCATGAATTACAAGCGCTGGTGAATGTTGAGTGGAAAAGAAGAGAGAAAACTATAAGGAGGGCATGGATTTTCTTGGAAGCCATTGCAGCTGCTTTGCTACTTTCTAATGCTAGTGACTGGAGATATTCGAGGAGTTGGTGCCTCACTTTAGAACCATAAGTAGCTTTTTTAAAGAAATTTGTGAGGCTGCTGTTTGGGAGTCTGATTGAGTGGAAGAGAGTGAAACGGATGATAATGTAGTAGTTGGACTTTTGTAAGCTTCTGGGGAGAAAAGTTGTTCATATGGTTATTTTTTTCCTTATGATAAAGGAGGTTCACTAGTGTAAAATCCGGAGCAACGGAATTTAGATGATTCACATAGTCAGATATTTAACAGATGATTCGAATCTCAATAATTGCAATTTTTTCTCATTCTATATTTGCTGTTTCGTTTAAACCAAAAGAAAAATATGCTATAGTGTACCTTAATTAGCCATGGCCAAGCTAAACTGGAGATACCAAAAATTCTCTTCCCTTCATCTAAAATACGCTCGTAAATCTATAATTTTTTTGGATAAGAAGGGGATATGGTACTGTAAATTTTACACTCTCTCCTTTCTCTCACTTTCATTCTATTGTATTTAAACCAATTGGAAAAGGGTCGAGCATCCGAGAATAAATCACTATCTCCTCTCCTCTAAGCGAGCCAATATACAACTTGTATTGTTATGAATTGTGATGGTTACTTAGACAAGCGAGTTAAATGGTAACCAGGCAAGCTGGAGACTCCGACTTTACAGCAAATGGATTCCAGCTCTTTGGAATGGGGTGCGACAATAAAACAAGAATTCCTTTTTGTCTACTTGTGTTTTGTCTTGTGTTGATTCATTTTTCAATAGTTGACAGAGCAATAAGGCTGTTTGTATGCAGCTCTCATCACATGCACTGTATTCGGTTTGATTTGGATTGATTATTTTTTATTCGGTTAAAATCAAATTTAAATATTAAATATATATATATATATATATTAAATTTGGATTGAAATATAAAAAATTAAAAAAATTAAATTAAATTGAATTATATATATTTTTATTTATATTTTTTTTTTAATTTTTATAAAATAAAAATAATAATTTTGTATCAAAATTTATATTAAAATAATATATAAAAATTAAAATTAAAAATAGATAAACTAAATTAATAAAATTCACTTCAATTCATTCCAAATTAAATCAAAGTTCTATTTAAATTTTTATAATATTATATAATATAAAAAAATCGAACTATTATCACCCATGAAACAAAAGATGTTGATTGAAAAAAGTGTGGGTCGGTATCTTCGGCCATGATTGAACGTTTGGGCCGGTTTGAGCGGCTACACATATATCTTAGGCTACCCCTTCGCCCATTTTTGTATCCACTTTAAACATCATTTGCTTCGTTACAGCTTAATGACAGTATTAGTTATAGCGACAAAGAAACACGAAATGAATTTAAGTTTCATGATAAGAATTTATTTAAATTAGACTTGATGATGATTGATATATTTATATCATATAAAATATTAAAATTTATATATTTATATTATATTTTATATAAAATAAATATTATAATTTATATCGACATAAAAATATAAAATATATTTTTTATTTTATTAAATTTATATATAATTATTATTAAATTTTTATTTTTTTATTGTATTAATATCGGGCAGATTTGCAGTTTTCTACTGGATAAGGTAGAAACATGCCAAGGCCCAAAACAAGGCAATCTTCCTTTTCGGTCCATCATCAACTTCAAGATTTGACCACCAACTTAGATTGGACCATTTCTATCCGTCTGAGCCCAAGCTAATTCTATCTTTTTAGAGTTAATGAAAGCCTATTAATCCATCATCTGGCCTACAAATTCCAACCCAAACTTCAAAAATGGGAAGCCCACTGGCTAAGCTCATTTTTCTCCCACAAAAAAGGTTTCATAGTGTTTGTACTTTACCCTATAGTTACATGAAAATTTTCATAATGATACAAAAAATTATTACTACTATATATGAAATATTGATAAATTATTTTTTATTTTTTAACCATGTTCGAATTTGAAATTTTCAAAACTTCAATATTATTAAAACAATAGCTCCTCACTTGTAATCATTTTTTTTTTTGCTATTAATATGCTTGTGGTTACTGGTTGATAATTAGATTTCGTGAAATTCCCAAAAGGTGAAGAGAGTATTTTAAATGGGCTTAATTGAATTATCCTTTGCCGACAGAAACCAAATTCGAACCAGATGTTTCTAGTTGTACATTTTAGGACCAAAGAATACATCAAACTCAGAAAACAAAGAAAACGAAGAGAAAACGCCAACGTGCGTTCCTTCCTCACCTTTTCCGAAAAAAAAAAGGAAAAAAAAAAAAGGCGAATCCTCTGTCCCAGTAACTGTCACATATTCAAACGTCAATTTTTAACAGTTTAATCTTTCTTCTCTAGGCTGATTAATCTAAAACCTCATGGTAACAAAAATAATTGAAAAAATGAAATCCATTTGAAATTATAATATTTGATTTGATTTATATTAATAATTTTTATTCAATCTAAATTAAATATTAAATATATATCAAATTTGAATTAAATTTTAAATAAAAAATTAAAATATATTATTTTTTAATATATATATGTATAAAAATTGTTTATATTTTAAATTTTTTAAATATATTAAAAATTATATTAAAATAATATAAAATTAAACATAATAAATTAATATATCAAATCAAATCTATAAAATTTTTTAATTTTATAAAAATTAATTTAATTTAAATCAAATTATAAAAATGGTTAAATGGAATCCGACCCTATTAGAATTGTTATCAGGCTATGACGCTACTTACCTCAATCACAATTTTTACAGCTCCAAAGTCGGAAAGAGAAAGAAAAAGGAACATTGTTTATTATTTGAATTATCTAATTCCGATTCAGCTCCATCACAATCAATCAAAAAAGAAGAAAGTTTTTTTTTGTTTTGGAGAAAAGCTATTGTATTTTAGATACATCCGAAGCGATCAAAGGAGAGGTTAGATTTTAGATGGCGATACTGTACGCGCTGGTTGCGCGTGGATCGGTGGTGCTGGCGGAGTTCACGGCGACGTCGACGAACGCGAGCGTGATCGCCAGGCAAATTCTAGAGAAAATACCAGGAGACAACGACACTCATGTTTCGTATTCACAAGATCGGTATATCTTCCACGTTAAACGCACCGATGGACTCACCGTTCTTTGTATGGCCGACGAGAGTGCTGGACGTAAGCCAAATACCTGTCTCACTTTTTCTTTCTTTTTTCCCTTTTTTTTTTTTTGTTGAAGGTTAACTTATATTTGATTGAATCGATAGGCTTACGTTTAAATTTCAATTGCTTTGTTAAGTATTATTTATTTGTTTAGAAATTGGAGATAAAATTGGGCGATTGAGAAAAAGGTTGAAGTTGAATGCTTGGTTGACAATCTAGGGTTTGATTAAAAGTTCAAAAGTGCAATTTCAATTCTACAAAATGGTAAAAGGGGTTTTTTTTGGTGGTGATCATATCAATTGGGTACTGTTAGCAATAGATGCAGTGCTCTGAGAAGTTATCACTCATCTTCAGCTTTTGAAGGATTGGTTCCCTTTTAGTGTGTGTTGATGGATTGGAGACGGGAATATTTATGTTCTTCAGAACTTTCTGCTGAGTTTTCAATAATTAAATTGAGAATTTATAGCTAGATATCCTTGTGGTTTGTGATGATTTCGTGTCTCTCTTCTTTGTTAGATGCTTTTTGGTCACATGTTGCTGATGATAATTTTTTGTGGTTATGGTGGATGTGTTTATTGTATATTTTTCAGGGCGAATTCCTTTTGCATTTCTTGAAGACATTCATCAGAGATTCGTGAGGACTTACGGCCGTTCAGTTTTTTCAGCCCTTGCTTATGGCATGAATGATGAATTTTCAAGGGTTTTGAGCCAGCAAATGGAATATTATTCAAGTGATCCTAATGCTGATAGGATAAATCGACTAAAAGGTGAAATGAGTCAGGTAGGTTCTGAATGCTCGGAATCTGGTATCGGTTCTATTACTTTAATTCTTCTAAATTCTCATTGACAGGTCCTTTTTTGTATCCAGTGTACTAATTATGGTGTTTATATGAATGCATAAGTATGAGCTTGTACATATTTTAAAGATGAATTAGATTGCCATTTGCATCACATGGAATGTAAAATTTCTACTTTGATCTGTTACCAATCATTTGATATGTTACATTTAAGGGAACCCTACATTTAATTGTCACCTACAATTATGGCCTTTTCACTTGAGGGCATTCAACTTGCGTTTTCTTTTTCTTTTTGGACCACGGTCTAATGTTGTTTCTTGTACTCTAATAGGTGCGAAATGTTATGATAGAGAATATTGACAAAGTTTTAGAGAGAGGTGATCGCTTAGAATTGCTGGTTGACAAAACTGCCAACATGCAAGGAAATACCTTTCGCTTCAGAAAGCAAGCTCGCCGTTTTAGAAACACAGTATGGTGGAGAAATGTCAAGCTTACGTATGCTTTCTGAACTTTAACCCCTATTTTTTGAACGTCTACATGCACTGCATTAAGTTTGAAAGTGAAATTTACTAAAGAAGAGCATAATTTCCTAATAAAACAGTTAGATTTATGTGTAAATTAGCTCGTTAAAATAGAAGAGATACTAGGATAGATGAGTTTATCGCTGACTGGAGTGCTTTGCACATTGCAGGGTTGCTCTGATAATCCTCCTCCTAATTATTGTTTACATTGTGCTGGCTTTTGTTTGCCACGGGATCACACTACCTTCCTGCCTAAAATGAGGTCGACAGATTGAGATTCAATCACTTCCCACTCCCATGCCCCCCTTTCCTTTTGTTTCCGTTTTTGTTTGTTTGTTTCAGTCTCTGCTTGAGGGGTATTGGGATCCTTCTGTTTCCAACTTCCTCTGCTGCGAGTTGCATTTACTTATTATTTATTCAATGTTAAGAGCTAGAACTTTCGTGTTGCGCTTGTGTAACCATGTTTACTCGTGGAGCTTGGAATGATTTGGTGTTTGCCTTTTGAAGACATGGCTTGATTTCTCAAAATTTATATAGGACTGTAATTTTCTTTTCTTTTTTTTTTTTTTGTGAACAGTCTTCTTTTTATCTTCGTTGCCACTCCTATTTTATATACTATGAAGTTGTATGAGTTATACAAATGGCATTCGACTGGTGTGCAAGTTATTCACGCATGGCAACTGTGAGTCTGCTCGGTATGCCTTGGAGATCTGACGATTGTGTATTGGTATTATATAAAATATTAAAATTTATATATTTGTGTCATGTTTTACATTAAAATTATGTCATTTTTTAAAATTTTATATATAATTATTATTAAAATTTTAAATTACATCATTTTTATATTTTTGTTATATTTATTTCATACTATTATTTTGTATTTTAAATTGAGAGATCTTTTTGGGTTATGCATACCAAACATCACAGAATGAGACTGGCATTGGGTGGATTCATGAGGAACTGGGACCTCCAACATAACTGAGGCTTAAACAGAAGGAAGAGTGATGGGTCCTGAAGTTCTCCAAATGATGATACCCAATGGACTTAAAGTGGGCCAGAAAAATACTTATCCTCGGTCACGTGCATCTTGGACTAGGCTTCATTCTTTAAGGGCCCAAAAGCACTTGCACAATTACCAAGCCCAAATTGTTTAAAAAATCAAGTAAGTAGTCAACCAAACGGACGGCGAATAAAAGATCTAAGAAAACGCTCAGCTGCACTGGACCATGACCAACATTTTAGCGAAGGGGAGTAAAAGAAAAAGGGGTAGGTGCGGGTTAAGTATCGTGCGCCCCTCATTGTCCCAAAAGCGTCCTTCGCCTAGCATCTAGCACCACATGAGATCACCCTCTCTTGTCTTTTCTCTCTCAAAAAGAGGACGAAAAAAGATATAAAATTTTTTGATTAAAAAAATAAATAAAACCAGCGCTAGAGAGGGAGAGGGAAAGGAAGAGAGGGAGACAACCAGAAATTTCAAAAAAAAAAAAAAAAAGAGAGGGGGCAATGAAGCAGAGGTTACCTGAGGCAGTCTCCTCATCGTCTTCCTCTACGTCTAGCTTACCAGACCAATCACAGCCCGCCACCTCACCTTCGGTGTCCGAAAACCACCAGCACCACAACAATAGCAAGTCCTTGGCATCGACATCGTTGGCGGATGACTTGGCTGGGGTGGGGTCGAGAGACGGGAGCGGTGGAGCCCAAGAAACAGTAACCGTTGATCGGCGAGGAGAATACTCGGCGGTTTGCAGATGGACGGTTCATAATTTGCCGAGAATCAAAGCTAGGGCACTATGGAGCAAGTACTTCGAGGTAGGAGGTTACGATTGCCGTTTATTGGTGTATCCAAAAGGGGACTCTCAGACTCTGCCGGGCTACATATCCATATATCTCCAAATCATGGACCCGAGAGGCACATCGTCGTCGAAATGGGACTGCTTCGCTAGCTACCGTTTAGCCATCGTCAATCTAACCGACGATTCTAAAACTATTCATCGTGATTCATGGCATCGTTTCTCAAGCAAGAAGAAATCTCATGGTTGGTGCGATTTCACACCTTCTTCTACTGTTTTCGATTCCAAATTAGGTTATATGTTCAACAACGGCGCCGTTTTAATCACCGCTGATATCGTAATCTTGAATGAATCCGTTAATTTCACACGTGATAATAACGATGTTCAATCCTCATTGTCTTCTATGATTTCGTCTTCGGTTGTAGCTGGTCCCGTTTCTGATGTTTTGAGCGGCAAATTCACTTGGAAAGTGCATAATTTTAGTTTGTTTAAGGAAATGATTAAAATACAGAAGATAATGAGCCCAGTATTCCCTGCCGGGGAGTGTAATTTGAGGATTAGTGTGTATCAAAGCTCGGTTAACGGGCAGGACTATTTGTCTATGTGTTTGGAGAGTAAGGATGCCGAGAAAACGGTCATTTCCGATAGGAGTTGTTGGTGTTTGTTTAGAATGTCAGTGCTGAATCAGAAACCGGGGTCAACTCATATGCATAGAGACTCGTATGGGAGGTTTGCAGCAGATAATAAGAGTGGGGATAATACTAGTTTGGGGTGGAATGACTACATGAAGATGCCGGATTTTGTTGGGTTGGAGGCAGGATTTTTGGTGGATGATACTGCAGTATTTAGCACTTCGTTTCATGTGATCAAGGAGTTTCATGTGATCAAGGAGTTTAGTTTCTCCAAGAATGGGGGGTTAATAGCAGGGAGGAGTGGGAGTGGAGCAAGGAAGTCTGACGGGCATATGGGGAAATTCATTTGGAGGATTGAGAATTTTACAAGGTTGAAGGATCTTCTGAAGAAGAGGAAGATAACAGGTCTTTGCATCAAGAGCAGGAGATTTCAGATTGGAAATCGGGACTGTCGTCTCATTGTTTATCCTCGAGGTAATTGTAAATTCTTTAGTATTGAATTGGATTTTGTGGTCATTTTTCTACAGACAAACTGAGTCTGGTACTTAAAGTTTAAGGAAGTGATATTTCTTGTCATTTTGCCTTTCTTTCTTTTTATCTTATTGGATTGAGCTACAAGATGGTTGCATGCTTATGGTAGTTGGCTCCTACTAAATTTTTTTGTTTCTAATCCAATATTAATTTGTTAGCTTAAGCCTTAATGTCTTGTTTCTCTAAATTCATATCTAATTGACTTGAAAATGTTTTGGCTTTACTAGCACCTTGCTTAGGTCTCCTTTAGGGAAGTGGTGACAGATTTTCTAGCCCTCAATACTGGTAATGCAGCTATTTGTCTCTTTTTATACTTATATAATCCAGTCTATGCACTTAAAATCAATTAAAATTTGCTCCTTTTATTTTGCCTCTGGAGCAAAAGCTATATTTTATCTTTGTAATCTGGTTTACCATCAGTCTTATGATCTCTGCATCTGAGACAAGGTGACTTGGGCTGATGGTTTCTAAACTGTGTTTGGAAAGTGAACTGATTGAAATCTTCTACGGGCATGATGGTATCAGGGCAGTCTCAGCCACCATGCCACCTTTCTGTGTTTCTTGAGGTTACGGATTCACGAAATACTTCCAGTGACTGGAGCTGTTTTGTGAGTCACCGGCTGTCTGTTGTGAACCAAAAGATAGAGGAGAAGTCTGTCGTAAAAGAATCTCAGAACCGTTACTCTAAAGCTGCCAAAGACTGGGGTTGGCGTGAATTTGTGACGCTTACTAGCCTTTTTGATCAGGATTCTGGGTTTCTTGTTCAGGACACTGTTGTATTCGCTGCAGAGGTTCTTATTCTGAAAGAGATATCAATAATGCTGGATTTCACTGATCAGGATACTGAGTCAGCAAATACTGCTCCCCAGATAGAGAGGATTGGAAAGAGAAGTACATTCACATGGAAGGTGGAGAACTTCTTATCTTTCAAGGAAATAATGGAAACCCGCAAAATTTTTAGCAAATTTTTTCAAGCTGGTGGTTGTGAGCTTCGAATTGGTGGGTGATTGTCTCCTGTCAATTCTCCATTGGACATGTGCTTGTAGTTGTTTCTGTTGATTAATTGGTTGTTTCTTATGATGCAGGTGTGTATGAGTCCTTTGACACCATATGTATATACTTAGAGAGTGATCAGTCAGTTGGTGGTGATGCAGACAAAAACTTCTGGGTTAGATACAGAATGGCTGTGGTGAATCAAAAAAACCCATCCAAGACCGTCTGGAAGGAATCTTCTATTTGTACAAAGACATGGAATAATTCTGTTTTGCAATTCATGAAAGTATCAGATATGTTAGAAGCAGATGCAGGGTTTCTTGTGCGTGATACTGTTGTTTTTGTTTGTGAAATACTGGATTCCTGTCCTTGGTTTGAGTTTGCAGACCTTGAGGTTAGTCTTTTTTGGATCCCTTTCATTTTTGTTGTTCAGACAACTTTGGTTTATTTTAAGTTTTGAGATTTTGGGGTTAAGTCTTTTTGGGCCTTTCATTTATATTTAATCTGCTGTTCATTACAGATTATTAATGGTACAGAAAAGGTTTTTTCTAATCCATGGCCTATTATAGTGTTTATGGCTTGCCCTGAATGTGTTGTGTAAAGTTGACCCTTACCCAAAATTTTAGCCAGATTCTTCTGAATCGCTCTCTTGTATGCTCTGTTCTTTCATGTTCCCATAAATGCAAACAGGAAGGAACTAGTAAAAGCTACTAAAAATTTACCCATAATATCTTTTTCTTTTTGGGTCGAATGGGCTTTATTTTCCTAATATATTTCTAGTGAAATAAAATCAGCATTTTTTATGTTTACTTTCTCCACTTTTTCCAGGTTGTGGCATACGAGGATGATCAGGATGCTCTAACAACTGATCCTGATGAACTCATTGATTCTGAAGACAATGAAGGAATATGTGGAGATGAAGAAGATATCTTTAGAAACCTTCTTTCCCGAGCCGGATTTCACCTTACATATGGAGATAATCCATCACAGCCACAGGTCACTTTACAAGAGAAGCTTCTGATGGATGCTGGGGCCATTGCTGGTTTTCTGACTGGACTTCGTGTTTACCTCAATGACCCAGCCAAAGTAAAACGTTTGCTGCTTCCAGCAAAGCTCTCTGGTGGTGGTGATGGAAAGAAGGTTTTGAAGATTGATGAATCTTCACCGAGTTTGATGAATTTGCTAATGGGGGTCAAAGTTTTGCAGCAGGCCATTATTGATCTACTCTTGGATATAATGGTTGAATGTTGCCAACCCTCAGAAGGAGGTGCCCATGGTGATTCTTCAGATGCAAACTCTAAACCTTCTTCTGATGGTAGTGAAGCTGCTAGTCCATTGGATTGTGATAGGGAAAATGGAGCTACAGAATCTGCTCAATTTCCTGTGCGTGAGAGATTGGATTCTTGTGTGGATGATGGTAGCACTGCCTCTGCTGTACAAAGCTCTGACATAAATGGGATTTATATATCTGGAAAAGCTATTCCCGGACGGCCTATTTCTCCACCAGAAACCTCTGCTGGGGGTTCTTTGAAGAATTCATCACTTCACTCAAATGTATGATTCGTAAATAACAATGAACTCACCTGATTACTCATCATGTATTAAGTATTAACTAC